CGCGACAATTGCCTGAGCCGAATTGATGACAATGGCTTGGTCAGCGCATCGGCTAGTTGTATTTCGCCAGGCCAATGTTCCAGTTCCAACTCCCCCGCCTCGAGCTTTTCGCAGATCCACCCAGCCTTGATCCGTAGGTGGCGTGTTCGCCAGGATCCTGATCCGCGCTGGATCGCAAGAGCGGACGTACTGTCCGTTCGCAACCTCGATCGCTCCAAGTCCAGACGTAATTCAGACAAAAGTGCTTCTACGCTCATGAGAGCGAGAGCCCCTTCCACGCTGGCTCCAAGCTCGCTCTCCGCCGTTGACAACGTTATTGTACTTTGGCGGGCAGAACGCCAATTGATTGGCGCTTCGCCCAACGTGATCAGCCACCCCGTATGGGAGCGGCCTCCGTCCGGCGCATATGAGGCGTCTGCCCATGCAATCAGCTGAGTAGCCTTGGCCTTGATTCTCAACTGTTGCTGTGCAGTGCGCTGCAAGAAGGCCATACATTTTTTGGCGATTGCCACAGCACGCCGAGGAGCGCGGGCGGAAAGAGAGCTTATGAGGCTCGCGACGTATGCGATATCAGGTCGCGTCCTCTGCGACACCCACAGGATCTCGCCCGCCACCTGCTGAGCCTCTCGAAGCTCGGCAGTCGTGAACACTGCCTCTTCGGAATCCGCCGTAAAACTCGACTGCTCTTTGCCAACCGGTACTAGGTTCAATTGTGTTGGCGCAATAGAGTGGATCCTCGTCAACTCCTTGATGTACGGCTCTTGATTCAATGCAAAGCCACCCTGTATCTTCGTGATCTCTATCCCCAAGAATCTGATTCCCCCATCAGATGCCCAGGACAAAGAGCTCGTCTCCCACAAGGACTTTACTGCTTTTGACACCGCATTGATGATTGTGGGGGTAGAACAAATCAGTAGGTCATCAACATAAATCACCACCAGTCCCACCAATGCCTTATCGTCCTCAACCAACCTCCACCAGCTGCTTTCGACCCGGCACTGGAGCAGTTTTATCCTTCGAGTTCCCACGACAATGTTGAGCTGAGCCATCTTGGTGTCCCTGAACTCACCCCACCATCGTGGTGACTCACGCAAACCATAAATGGCATGCGTGAATTCCCATAATTCTCGAGGATGGCATAGGCCTGCTCGGACTAAGGCTCGTGGAGGTTGTCCCAGGATTCTCTGCTTGCACTGAACTTCATTCAATGGAGTCTGTAGAAAAGCTGCAGTCACATCCAACACTGCTGCCTCCCAGTCGAATAAACTTGACACCGAAAGCGAAGACCTCACCACTTCCGCTGGAGCTGCTGCAGCATAAGTGTCTTCTCCAGATTCGGCCATCATGTTCCCACATGCCACAATCCTGGCTTTCCTCCTATACCATTGTCCATTGCTGACTGCCTCCTCTGACGGGGGCTTCACTGTATAGACCACCTTCATCGGGACAATCTTTGCGACACCATCCTTGAGATCTGCCACGACCTGAGGATCATCACTACGAACTCTTCGAGACGCTCCCTCAAAGGATCCTAGCTCCTTTTTTACTGCAGGCACCCAGTTGTCGAAGGATCCAGTAGCTTCACCTGGATCAACATTGTGGGCGACCGTTAAAGGACCAGTCAATGATCCCAGCAGCTCCTCGATGTTCTTCGTGAAACCCACCTCCGCCTTGGCGACTGTAGCATTCCTGTCACACGAAGCTATCAAAGCTTTGGGAACATCTTGAGGGTCACCTTCTTCAAGAGGTAGATACATGTCCCAGTACTCAACCTCTTCCATAGCTACCCTTGATCCATCAGATATACGAAGGTCTTGTGTGTAGTCAGGGCATACGGCCGGGTACAACATCGAACCATCTGAAGAGACCAACTCGCCGTCCAGGTGCTCCTCTTCCTCCAGAACTTTCTCACTCGACCCCAGGCTCTGAACCCTGAGAGCTCGGAGCATCGGAGCCATGCCGTCCTCCTCCGGGCCTGATGGCACTGGGAAACCAAGCCTGCTGAGGATCTCACGCTCTGGAGTCTTTAAGTTCTGTGGAACACCCGGTGTATATCCGACCAAAACCACACGCAAGCCCTTCCAAGGAAGTACTGCATGACGCTTGTGTGGGTTGAACACAACCACCTCCCCGACCGATAGCGGCTGTATACATCCATAACGCGGAATGCCCCTTTGATCAATCATCTCCGTGATCTTTCCTTGGACCACATCTCCACCCTTCAACTCAATCCAAAGGTCACCGCCGCTTCTTGGAAGAGCCAGAGGACAGACATAGTTCGGCATCCCAGTCAAATTGTTGCTATCAACATGAAGTTCCTTGGAAGTGTTCACCGAGACATACACAGCAGAAAACTCAGCCTCCGGACATCGATCTAGGAAGATACGCGCGAAGAGCTCTGCAACCCAAGGTTTGTCATAGGTGGCCTTGGTCAAACCGACTCTCCCTCCATGTCTAAATACTCCATAAATACGTTCCGCTGGATTCAGACTCAAGGCAACTTGTAGTGCCAAAACAGCTGCCTCCTCCGGAGACCACTGACTCAGTGTCTCCAGCGTCTTCTCCTTCAAGTCCTCACTCCCAGTCACCACTTGTGCCTTTGAAACTGCCACCACATCCCCAGATCCCCGACTCTTGTCACGTAGACGCCGACTAGGAGGTCTCGGTAGCTCAGCCTCTAGGCCAGGTTCTGGTAGCACAGGGTCCTCAAGTCCCACTCTCACATTGACTGTGTGAACAAACTTCTCCCCATCCTCGTTGGCCACATAGATAACATGCCCTCGACGTAGTGTTTCTGATAGACCCAAATACCTCCCTTCCAACCATCTTGGAGCAAGGTCATCAGGCTTCCCTGACTCTGCGACTCCTCCATACTCCCGTTTCCGAACCAAGACCTTTGCTCCAAATGGGGCCACTAAACGTGCTTCCATTCCCAAGGCCGAGGCTCGCTGAATCGTTGCCGCCATATTCACCGCCTGAGGCCACAGGCGCTGGGGAAGCTTGGAGCCGATCAACAACGTTCTGGCACGCTGCTTGATGTACCTCACTGCATTCTCAACCATTCCATTTTGTTGATGTAGCCCTCCTTCACTAGTAGTGAACCTCATCCCGTGAAACTTGATCCACTGACGAGTAGCTTTGGCGTAGAACTCCATTCCTCGATCACAGTGGAACCTTACAATCGGAATGTTGAGGGCCCAACAATACATCACCACATCCTGGATTGCTTCCAACACTGTTGATCCTTTGTTATCTGGCAACCCAGTCGAGAAAAGAAGACTGACCGTCTCTGGTCCAGACATATCCAAATCCTCCTCCGGACTCAAGTGCTTCTTAGTACGATCATCAGATTCTTCCTCATCTCCATCGGGAATCTCTTCGTCATCTCGAGGCAAAGGTGGATGAGCTGATTCTTCACCCTCCGGAACAGGATCTTCGTAGTCAAAGGCGTCTTCAGCAGGCGGAGAGAGTGCCTCTAATTCTCCGGGATCATACTCAACTCCCACTCCTCTACCATCATCGACGAAGGTCTTGGGAATCACCAGCTTGGCCACGAACATGTACTTATACGGCTTGGGAAATGCTCCTCGTCCATCAGCATCCAACCCGGGAACCTTCAGAGGACCTGAAACATCTGCAGACAACACAAAGCACGTAGGATGCTCCACTCTTGAATGTCGTCTGCCGGTCGCACCGGCTGTCACACATGTAGTACAATCAGCTCGATAAGGTAGATGCCCTCGCCTAACGTGTTCTTTCCACTGCTCTGCTGACATTCGCAACATCCTTGCAGAAAGTCGTTGCTCCCTGACTGCGATTGACACCACCTCCGAGAACTCCTTAGTCCAAACCGAAGGAGGTTGCCTGACTGCAGGTTGAGCATCGGGCTGGATGCGACCACGAAGACCGTGAAGGTGACGTAGCGGCAAGTTGGTTCCAATTGTGGTGTGCCTTGACAGCGCCTTCCCCAAGGAGGACATATCAAAACTGTAGGTGCACAAACCCGCTTCCTCTGCATACTGAATCCACAGGCTTGTTCTCCAGAAGCTCACTGAATCCGCTGCCAGCGGATCGGTAAACATCATGTAAGAGCGAGGATCACGAGGCTGCTCCAACATGAAACCCACCTCCTTCACGTCATTCGGCTCTGCTGGGTATACACACCTACCTGCTGTTGCCAACGCATGCAAGTAGATCATCTTCACGAACAACCCCGTGTGTCTATTGACTATTGCCGTATCCTTGTTGCTCTGACCAAACCACCCTCCATAAGGATACTCTGAGCTGCGAAGAGGTTCCGGGCCTGGAGTCATACACCGTCTCAACATAAAGGTGTTTTGAGGAGGGCCACCAATGATGGATGCTATTCTTCCAGACCTGGCAGCCCACTCTAAAGCTCTCCATACTAGGGGATTGCACACATCATGGGATTTACCCTGCTCAATGTCCAACTCCAGAACCGCAAAGCCCTGTCGCTCCAAAAACATCACCTCCTCATTCGGTGTCCTGCCCGAGTATAAGTGTACCACCCAATGCCGGGATGACCACAACTTCTTTCTCCTCCTTCGACTCAAGTGCTGCAAACCTCGAAGAGCATCCCAGCCATTGGAAATTGGATCCGCCTCAGACAGGCCGAACAAAGACTGCTCCGGTAAATCTTGAAAGAATGGAGCTCCGTGAATTGCCAGCAGCGCCTCCGAGCCTATTCCTGAGTTGCAGTACGAAATCAGGTGGTCGAACCATGACTTGTTCAGAACCATCATCGACTCCCTGATTTTTGCCTTGGTTGAGGCTGTCGCTGTCTGCAAGGTCTCCAACTTCCGGTCCTCGATGCGGGCTATCAGCTCCAACGCCTGGCGCTCAGTGATTTCAGGGCAACCATCTCGAACTCGAAGGGTCAACACTTCACCATCTCGACTGGTAAGTCTACAGCGGGACCCGTACCACTCAAGCTTGTACCCCAAAACCCCCACCAACGATCCCAACGGAACTATAGGAGATGTCGAAGCGCTGCGTGTGGAGCCTGTCAAGGGTACCAGGAGTGTGCCTGCCGAATTCATTCTCAACTCAACAGATTCTCCTCCCGCCAAATGGACCAACACCGGGCTTGAGTCTCGCCACTCATCACTGGACTTCGCCCGTCGTAAAGGGTGAGTTGCTCCTGAGTCCACTAGGGCATAAGCGCTCTCTTCGAAGCTGGCTGGCGTTCCTCCATGGATGCTCATCACCCTGATCGACGGAGCCTTAGCTTCTGAGGGCGGTCCAGCTCCAGCAACCTTAGCCGCTGCTTGCAACAATGCCTCCCATGACAAAACTGGGTGACCTGGTAGCACATCCGCTTCATTGGTCTTGGTGGGCGACTTCTCACCCTCAGGCTCAAGCTGTGCCTTGTTGATCGCTGCTGCCTTAGGGGACGCCGTACTGGACTGCGGTGAGCGATCCTCGGCTCCACGAGTGCTGCTTCCAGCTGACGCTGCCGATCTGCCTTGTTTTGTGGGGCACTCACGCTGTCGATGATCCTCAGCACCGCATGCGAGGCACTTCTTGGCCTTCTCTTGCTTGCTTAAGCCCTCAAAGCTGTGCTGAAAGGGGCACTTGCTTCCTCTTCGACATCCACCTGCCTTCAGGAAGTACTTGCATGCTCGCGCCGAAGAAGACGACCCAGGCTGCTGCGCCGTACTGGTAGTAGATAAAGGCCTCAAGGACACTGTAGGGGCTCCTGCCGTAGCCTTGGAGATCACGATGTTTTCAATCTCTGCTTGCAGGTGCTGTTGGTAGCGGACCACATCCTCGATCTTGGGCTGGGCATCTATTCTATAGGTGGAGCGAACCAGCTGTGTTCTGAACACTGCGTCCGGGTTCTCTGCTAAGAACTTGCCTGCAGCTGTGGTTAAGCTTCGGGCCAACAGAGTGCCGTCAGGAACCGTCATATTCATGTCCCTACATCTCTGCAGCCATCTTGGCCAACTGCGCAGCATATTCAAACAGGCCGTAACATCACCCGGAGCTTCTTCACCTTGTAGATGCTTCAGAACAACACCTCTCTCTGCTGCACCGCCAGGCTGGTACGTCGTGTAAAGCCTGAACATTACCATTACAGCAGATTGCGTAGATCGCCTGGAAATCAAGTCTGACTTTACAACCTCAGGAAACGACTGCATCATCAACGCACAGGCCCTCGCATTCACCCGTGTCCATTTTCCAGTGACCAAGCGCGAGTGCTCATCCGGATTGATCTGAAGCCGCTCCAAAGGCGTAGCTGCCAACCATGTAGCATACGTTTCGCCAACTCTTTCCCTGACTTGCTCCCACCAATCTCCGGATCCCGAGGATAAGTCCTGCATCGCCGTGGTCACTTGTACCAACCAGTCTTGCAGCAACAAACCACTCATCTCACCCACGGGAGGCTTTAGTTCAGGAAGAGAAACCGTCGCCGTCTTTACCACCTCAGGTGCCTCATCTGCAGAATCGCTCTTCTTCATCGCCTTTAGCTGCAGATCTTGGAGCTGCTGCATTCCTTGCGCAAGGGCCTCCAATATCCCTTGTGGAGGAGTGGCTGACTGAGAAGGCACTCCAGGCTCGTTCTGCGGTGGAGATTGCATAGGCTGAGCTTCATCCAGCCGAGGACGTTGCTGTGGAGTTTCCGCTCGGGTGGCTCCAGCCTTTGCCCTCGATCCGAACTTTCCATAAAGGCCCTCCCATATTGAGGCCCATGGATCAGGTATCCCACCAGGTCCTCGCGGTCGACTACCAGGATCACCTTCATGCTGGGTAGAACGCGCAGCTGGAACAGGAGGAACAGGATGATGTACTTCAGCTAGCTTAGGTACTTGAACATGAACTTCTCTTCGAGACTGTTGATGCTGCTGAAGCACTTCCTGAAGGCGAGCATTCTCCGACTCCGCAACTGAGAGCCGGTCTAAGAGCGAGCCAAGTTGTCGTTGTACTTCTGCTTGTATTGCTTCTGCTGGCACGCTGCTGCTTTCGGGTGTTGGTGCATTAGGGGGCCTAGACCGCAACCTTAAGAAACCACCCGAACCTTCCTCCGTAACCTCCTCTCCACCAAGGTTCAGCGATCTTCTCACCATCGTTCCCGGCGGTCTCGGCGGGCTTGGGATAGGACTCGGCAACCAAGTAGGGGCTGACTGCTGTCCGAAAAGCTCACCGAGTCTTGACATCCACCCTGGAAGTACTCCCAAACTTCCACTGGCTCCTGTATTCAACCCTGTAAACTGCGAAGTCCTTGACCGCGGCGTCTGAAAACCGCGACCCCCATCCGCATCCACGGCTCCCATCTCTGCTGTAAACAAACCAGCCTCCGGTTGTGAATCTGCAAATCCAGTAGCCACCGCAGCGGGTTGCTCGCTGATTTGTGGGCCACCCTGCGATTCCAGATTCCCATAACCAGTTCCAGCTTGCTCCATTACAACAGGAAGGACGCCCGTTCCTGCCTCAGCAGGTGCTCCCAGCTGATTTGACGATCGAGGCCCATCTGCCTCACCTGCAGCCAGAGCTTCTGTCGGGGGCGGCTGTATGGCCGCTCCCACCTCATCTGCTTGCTCCACTGTCACCACCGGCTGCAAAGCTTCAGCCGATCCGTAACCAGTCGCAGCGTGCGAAGTTCCGTTCAACAGCGCATCTGTAGCTTGGGCGCTCATAACCTCGAAACGTGGCTGTCCAGGCATCAAGCAGAATCAAAGCTTACGCATCTATGGCAGCGCACGTCTAGCGAATTGGATCTTTTTATCACGGCACACAAAGCGCTTACAGGCTTTGTTCGGGAGCTTCCCCCGCAAACATACCCTACGGTATTTGTCAGGTTGGAATCTCGCTCACTGTAAAAAGTATTATGGCATCACAGAGCTGTTATTGCCTCAAACTCATACCGTAGCTCAAGGCGGTATTCCGCAGCCTTGCCTTGAGCCATCAAAACCGAGGCGGCATCTCCAGCTTCCAAGCTTGTTGCGACACCACTCCTGTCATGCATATGCGACACTCTCGGATTTCCTCA